GTTCTACAGCCAGATTTAAATCTCCTTGAATTGACCAATATATGAAGCTAAGGGCGTCGCGCTCTGGATCACCTGCTAACCAATACCTTTATCAATTTTAAGAGGCCCGTTCATGTCCACAGATTGAGTTATAACTGAAGACTTATTTTTACCAGTCCTGAACAGCAAACAAAAAAAAGAAAAGCTAACTCCTCGTCCTAGTCCTTCCCAGTCTCCAGACAAAGGTGCGCAACATGAGTTTTAGTGTCTGGTGAAACCTCTACCACCCCCCTGTGACTGAGGGTGATAGCTGAAGACCCACTGTTGCACTCAGGCTTGCGCTTCATTTGATTAAAACAAATCAAGGAAATTTTAAACTCTGGATCTGATCTGCACCACTGTAGGAAAATCACTTGAGGAAAAGTGGTTAAGGCTTTTGATAAATATTCTTTTCGCTGTGATGCGCGCAAGGAATGGCTTCAGGATAACGGGTCAGCCAATCAATACGTTAGCAACAACCACGATCACGAGGGTCTTGCGGGTGAACGACACAATTTACACCATCTACTAAAGGGCTCTTCAATGACTGGGATAGGGCTAAGAGGAATGGTTTAACACTGGGGTTCGCTCGCTACCTGACAATCATGCAGGCAAGTGACAGTAAGAGCTATCGTCTTTTCTTCATCCTAGGCCAAAAGAACTGGGGATAAAATTTTTATGGACAAGTCTTCCTAACCCAATGACCATCCACCCATCATGAGCGATACGGTGGTCCCGCCGCAAAGGTTTGGGGGAATGAAGAATTTGATGATGAACCAAACCAAGGGTGATTGCAGGAGAATTGGAGGACGGAACTTCAGCCAATACACCAGGACCTAGTGTAGTGGTGCAACTTGATTCTTGTCAGCTTCTGTCTCTCAGTAACTGACCTATTGGAGAAACCTACTATACCAGGATCCCTGCTTGTAGCTCAATCAAACTTACCCTAGTATGGATATAAACCAAAACTAGTGATATCATTCCTGATCTCCATCGGAACCACTCTGGAGGTTATTAGGGGAATCACATTCTACTGAGACCAAGATCAGTATATCCGCTTGAATACATTTATCTCGGTCTCTATAGTCCTGAGGAAACTGACTAATTTAGTCTTTACCCCTGTACTAAAAGGTCAAGATAACAAGCATTAATGCAGGAACAACCCCAAAAGTTCTACTTCTAACCACAGTATTATTTCTCAACAGGGGACAAGATAGATCACAAATATTGTGAAGACTACAACGAGGTCATTTCACTAATAGAGAGACCCTTCTACAGGCAAGTTATTCCATTGCCTTTAAATGTGACATAGCCTGGATTCTTATGGGATGACCGTGAAAAAGACGGATAAAGGGGGGTATACCCACTGGTCAAACTGTTCATGCCACCCATATCAGTATAGCATGAACGAGAATGGAGCGGAATCTTGTAAGAGATAGTGCCGAGCCTGTGCCTCTAAGAGTTTAACAGAATGGATTGACTGAATTTGATCCAGCTAAGGAACTGGAGAACAGTAAAATGGTTCAGTATTGATATCATAGAAGAGGGGAAGCATTCAGGGCAACAGCTCCAACTGGTGGGCAGGACACAGCTCCAGAATTGATTGCCTGGCCACCCCACTGCGTGAGTGGGGGGACCTGTGAGAATTTTTTTAACTTGAGACAGTCGCTGATGACATATCCCTGGGCACTCTGCAATCTAGAGTAGAGTAGATCCACTTGTCCATGACCTGGCCCAGTATGATGCAGAACCTGAGGGTTGGCTCAGTGACAAGAGGCAGGGACCTGATGTAGATAAGTTATGTATTAATGGAAATGGTACACTGGGATTATGGGGTTACGATTCTGTAATTTAGCATTTATTAGTTATGAATGGTCAACACTGGACCAGCACTGTAGAGCACAAGATGTCTCCCTCTGATCAAGTGTGCTCGAATGTCGTGCCTGGGATATACTTAACCTCTAGGTGATTAGTCTAACAAGCTTGTCATGTTCTTGCTATGGGCAGACTCATTTCTTAACCCACTCCTGATTGTAAAGGACCTGCTTCACCTGAAGAACTCACAATGCTGTTTGTTGCCCGCAGTTATGAACTGTTGCCGGTAGTCAGGAACAAGTTTATATGCTCAAAAAACCGCGGACTTAACAAGGGCATAGTCTCGACATTGGATCTCACAGGAGAGGGCAGAAAACAGCATCTAATATTGCTCAGTGAAAGATCTATAAATAAGTTGAGACCATTGAGAAACAGGCTACTTTGTTAGTCGGGCAATTTTCAAAAAGAGAAGAATTTGTCTGGTTCTTTTCCTCACAATTTAGGGAACACGTTGGAGACATTTGTCTGCTACCGGAATGTTGTTATTACTACTTGAGTCAAACCCTCGTTGTTTGAGAGTTTCAGGCTCCACCGAGTCTTTTGAGTTCAACCCAGGCCAAATTACTTGGTGTAACAATTTCCTCTGAATTTCCGACGTCAGCTATGATTTCATTGTCAATACAGAAGTTGAGGACAGCCTCTTAACCTAGACTTTATTCATGGAAGAGCGGCCTTTATCAATAAGAAGCGAGGGATTAACGGCCTTTAGTAAATGACCTCAGTACTTCGGCTGAAGGTGAAGCCAAAACAGGTCAAACATATTGAACTCAAATCGAGAAGAAAAAAAGCAATCGGCAGCTAAGCTAACGAAGAATAAATTAATATCAAATGCACAAACTGTGAAACACAGCAAGGGATTAACCAAATGATCTATAATAATAAGATATAAGAACCACCAGTGTACAATAACAGGAGCAATATAAACGAACACTGTGAACACAGCAACTTGCATCCAAAAACATTATTTAGCGATGAAACAACACCTCATGAAAATAACACTTGATATGAGAGACGAACAATGAAAGTAAGTAGCCTGGACACAGGCCTCACTTGTCGCCATCCCACTATTCTTTATGCTTTGATAACTTACCTCAAGTTGATAAATACAATAGGGGAATGCTAAATAATTATCCTCACCAAATACCTACACCAATGTACTTGAAAAAAAGAAGAACAGTTGAAATAAGTGAATCACAAAAGGGAAATATAATTATCTAATCAATTTATAAGCTTTTAAAGGGAGAAGATTAAATTAATAGAATTTATGGAATAAGTAAGTGTATATTAAAATAAGAGGATGCATGAAATATGTTGTAAGGAATTAGACCAAATGTTGATTAACATTATATATACAAGACATACGAAATATATATATAGTTAAAATCACTACTAAAATTGATTAGTCCCTACCAAACAGGAGATTCTCGTCACTCAGGATCCCTTCCTAGGCCTAATCAAATGCATTTAATGGAATACCTGATACCCCTAGGGCATTGCAGAAGATTGATAAAGCACTAGACAAGGGTCATGCTAGAGAATTCAATGGACAATGCTCAATTTGTGCTACGATGAAGTGGCATTGAAATGCCTCATCTCACGGATCCAGACATTTATGATATTATATAATTAATTAATACTTGATTGGAACTTAAATTATGAGTACACAATGATGCATATTAATATACAAATATATAATTAACCTAAGTAATTGAAGAACAATAATATAATGCTAATTAACAAATTATTATCTCCTCGCTATCTGATTCATAGCTACAGGCACGTGACAATATATATATATATATATATATATATATATATATATATATATATATATATATATATATATATATATATATATATATATATATATATATATATATATATATATATATTATCAGTGAAATGACAAGATACGATCAGTTCCCAGATAGCTGAAGTAAGTTTTTCAAACAATTCTTTCTGAATCCTTTTGCTTTCACTCTGAAGTAAATTTATCGGTATTTTCTATCAGTCTCTTCTTGAATCACAATATAAATTTGCCAAAGTATCGGAACAGTTATACAATGTACAGGTGAGATAATCTAGGTGCAAACATTTCAGTAAACGAAAGTCAAGAACAATAGAGTGGCAGTGTCGGCTTGTCCGGAAGCTGTAAGATTTTTTCACTCTAAAATATGTAACGTTCTCCAAAATCTTCTAAAATGCCAAATCCTGATCCATCTCTCCAGAATGAACATCGGCTTTTAAGAGGCATAAACTAGGCGTCACCTCCAAAGTAACTAACTCTTTTCCATAGCTTCTTTCAAACATCTGTGTTGATCCTATGATGCCATAATTGTTTCCCTTTCAATTAGAGACTTCAAATCCTGCCCCTAATGTTGGTGGAGATTTTCCATACAAAGATGTTCATGAGGAGCAAAGGACATCTGCATCTCCTCAAACCAAAGATTCACCGCATACTTTTTGTTTCTGTCTGGTTATATTTCACAGTTCCCACCTCTATTGCTCTGGCAACACAATATTCATTGTAAAATTTTTCTCTGTTTAAGTTTTTGTGGATTTTGGGTTGTAGGAGGCTGAAGCATAATATTTATCCAAGAGGAGGCCGACTACACAACAAGAGAGGTCATTGTGGTACTCAGTTGACAGCTTCTTTCCAGCCTGATTTATTTTACATAAGTATTTGCAAGTCACATTGTTACTCATTATTAATTATTGAGGTATTATTAGTAGAGTTTTTTTTTATTTCAGAGGTCTAAGTTAAAAGTTCCTTACAGCGTTTCCCTTTTAGTTAACTGTTCTGTTCAACTGCGAAAACGCGAACTGACTTAAATACCATAGTACTTTGCTTTTTGGTTAGACGGCATTAAATAAATTATATATCTTACTGTGACTTGTTTACTTAAAAATTAGTAGTGTCAAATCTCTTATATGGGTAATTGTTATATATCTAAACATATCCTGGGCGCCCCTTTTCCTTTCCAGTTAGGACTAATCTGGGAAATAATAGAAAAAAGTTCCTGACAATATAATACCATAAATTGAATTTTCCTCTGATAATATATACAGCATTTGTGCTGCAGGTGTTGGAGAACATGAGTGTGGGTGGAGTGCGGGTATTGGCTCACACTCAAGCCACACTTCAGCAGGAGGCACTGCACAGTGTTCCCAGTCTCAACGCCTCACACGAACTCACCAATGCCGTTGGGTGAGTCCTTTCGCTGTTTGCATGTAATGAATAGTATTTTGTCTATTGTATTTTGAGCACCAACATTCTTTTATGTATGTATTGACTCGTCATAATTTCATTGATGTGCACTTTAACTTCTTTCTTTGATGTTATAAAAATTATTTTCCCTGGAATTCTCTGCTTATGGTTAAATTTAAAGGAAAAATTCTAGAGCATTGACGTGGCAAATAAGAATACTAGAGTAACTCTTCTCGCGCTTCAGCATACGATACCTTAAGTCATTAATACATCTGATCTATAGTTGTGATTCTGCAATGCTCAGTGGCAGTACCATAAATAATTAGGAGGGTGTCATATGCCATTTATTTGTAGGCTAAAAACAAGATTTTTTTTTTAATCAGTGAATGGGTAAAAATCGTTTAAGAAGCGTACCTTGGAGGTGCCCTCCAAAGTATGCTTCTCGTACAACAAATATCTGGCTGGTTTTGTATTTAATGTAGTTTCTCTTACGTGTGATGCAGAGACTTTAATTTGTATATTTTCTAACAATTAAGCTCGATTTTTATCGTATATTTAACTTTTTCTTCGAGTTTTGAAATATATATTTTGTTAATATTTGCGATTGATTTAAATTTTTACTGAAAAAAAAAACAATTTTACGATTAATAATAGTTAAGTAGCAAAATTGAAAGCTGTGCGTTGTCATTAGTTCAGTGAGGACACACACCTTACATCGAGGCCGGACAGATGGCCGAAGGATATTTGGCCGACGGACGTTTCACCGACGGACATTTGACCGAACGGACATCGAGCCGACGGACAAATGGCCGAGCGGACAATAGACCGAACGGACAAATGGCCGAACGGACATTTGGCCGAATGGACATATGGCCTTTTTAATTTTATTTTTATTTTCTTTCTTCTTTGCAATGTATTTTCTGCACATTTACTAAATGATAAAATATATTAATTGTAATGTAATTGCTATATAAAAATTGCTTCAGTCTTGTGCTTAATAGCTGGTAGACGTCGGAAATAATCAGCATTATTCGGAAACAATCAGCATTATTTTCTCCAATTTCAATTTAACTAGTGCATTACAAGGACTGAGAGAGGTTTATGTACACAGGGTGACCTTACAAAACATGAGGTCAGATCAAAAGCATGACATCCGCTAATCCACACACCAACACCACCACAAACACAAAAGAAAGGGCGACGTAACTAGTCATGTTAAGTCAGGTGAAGTTCTTAGCCACGCCCCAAACCAAAAAAAAATTGTATATCATGCAAATGTATCACATTGAAATTATGTTATCTTCTTATCCTTTGTTTTATAAAGCAAATACATTGCAAAGAAGCAATTACATTACAATAAATATCTTTTATCCTTTAGTAAATGTGCAAAAAATACATTGCAAAGAAGAAAGAAAAATAAAATAAAAAATTAAAAAGGCCATATGTACAGTCGGAAACCATAATCTCTAGCCCACTTGGGTCGGTGCTGGAGGTTAGTACAGTGTCCTTTCTGGACGGGGGCCCACTCTAACTATCACGAGGCAACACACACACGAACACACACAGTCATAGTACGGCTGTATAGATGACATTATGTATAAGTATTGTATATGTCATTTTATACTCTGCATTATCTTCATTTTATACGAACACGAAGAAAAATTACCATAGGTTGTAGTTACGAAATTATGAATGGAAATAAACACTTCCAAACCCCCCAGTGAATCCACACATCGTTTAATAATAATAATAATAATAATTAACGGTTTATTGAAAAAATTCTGCAGCCCGAAGGCTGAAAATATACATTGGACATAAATGACTTATTACATACATTGGTGGTTTAACAAAAGCCTTCATTAGAGAAAGGTAAAGGAACATACAGTGAACATACAGATTAATGTAGGTGTTGAACAGCAAACTCGTAGTGTAGTAACTCCCTCCCAGATGGTGTTAGGAGGGACTCACGTGGTGTAGTAGTTCCCTCACAGATGGTGTTATGAGGGACCTCACGTGGTGTAGTAATTCCCTCACAGATGGTGTGATGAGGGACTTGACGTGGTGTAGTAATTCCCTCACATATGGTGTTATGAGGGACATGTGGTGTAGTAATTCCCTCACAGATGGTGTTATATGAGTGAGGTTTGGTCTTAGGCCTTCCTATCGTAGACGGATTAACACATCGCTGGTTGTTGTTGGGTCTCACCGGCCGTTATCACTGGGTACCTGGGACCTCACTGTGTGAAGGTTAACTTGGGTACTACTGTTAGTGTTGAGTTGTTCTCACTGAGTTAAGCACTGTTCACCTCTGTTTAACACTGGTTCCATTCCTTTCCTAAATGAAATTGTAACTTCTGGCGAGAACTTGTTGATATTCCGGTGGGGAGGAGGGTTCAGGTGAGGGGGTTGGTATGGGCCAACTTAACAGTTGACCTGGCTGCTCCGAGAGGAGCGCCAGGTACGTCTTGACCCTTCGGTGGTCAAGGATGTTTACAGCGCTTGTGTGTGTGTGTGTGTGTGTGCCAGACCACGATGCTTCCACCACACCCCATCTAGTATATCTTTTATTTTCCCTTCATTTGCATAACTATATGAAAAAGCGTGTTTAATTTTACTACATATTTCAAAAACCTTAAATTACATGTGGATCAGTCACTCCTCATTTGACACACTTATAGTGTAATACTTTGACCATCCCACCTGGGCACAGGGAGGCCCACGGTAACTCTCACGGGGCAACACGCGCGAAAACACAAGTTATGATATGAATCCTTCCAGGCTTCACTATCATTAACATGTTATGTTCATCGTGCTCTGTATCTTGGTAACTATTCATAGTATCAATATATTACAGTGTTATTAGTATAATATTGTAACTTTTGCCCTACAGTTATTGTTGTAAATCATGGACAGGAAGGATACATAAATTGTAATATCAAGTGTATGTTCGCTCAAAGCCACCCCAAGTCAGACAATGCATCACATAAAGTTACACTTTGTGTGTGTGTGTGTGTGTGTGTGTTCTGTAACATTAAGCTTCATCCTTAGTAGGTAAGATGTTTCATAAAGAGGTTTCTCCCATTCGTCATTGCAGATGAGAGGTCCCGAATACCCACCCTTTAGTCTCCTCATGGCTGGTAAAGACACAAATAGTAACAAGAGAAGTGAAAGTGAAAAAAAAGTGTGCCATACAAATGGTTTGAATGAAAACGCTAAGAAAAATTAAGTCTTTCAAGTTTTATGGAAGACAAGCTATACATTTTATGTAATAAGGAAATAGTCTAGTCAAATATGGTTAGACCCACCACAAATTGCAATAGGATTTATTTCTCTAAAATACTTTATAGAAAAGTGCAAGGAACAACATATTAAAAATGTACCCGAATTTACCTTGGCGAAATATGCTTAACTTGCGTAAATCCAATATGACCACCAAAATACCTACAGACATATCTTATTTTGCCGTATAATATCAATCAAATATCAATCACATCAATATCATATTATAGCCGTATAAATATATTAATGTTTTTTTTTTCTTATTTATGTATCTATCGGGGTTTTTTTTTCGCCAGTTATCATCTTACTACCTGTTTGGGTGCTCTATCCAGTGTTAGTTGTATGTACAGTCCCGGCCAAAAGTCCTGTGCCAGGCAGTTTGGGCTAGCTTGGTTATATGGCACCGTCGGAGACATACACGCACAAACACACAGGCTGTGCCAGAAACCCCGTTTATGTGAACAGTCTAGTATATGGCGTCTCTATGTGCATATCCTCTATGAACTACACAATTTACCGATGATCAATGGTATAATGGTAAAATGCATTTTATACTTCATTATAATATTATCAGAGATATTGGCCACTGTCTGTCAGTAGCTAAAACACAATGCCTCGATCACTCATGTCTACCACACCATACTTTCGAGTTTTAATGTAATATTTGTATCTATGTAAAACAACCTTGCTTCTGTACATAAGTATAATGATAAGAATATAAAATTTTATGTCTTAGGAGAAATAAATTACTTAAATGCAACAAACACACTTTTAATAAAAAAGAAAAAAACAACCACACATTGTGTCTGCTTGTGCTTCACCTTACACAGGATGCAAGGGGGTGCCCACTGCCCAATAAATTAGCCCCCTCGTGGGGCAAATTAATAAACTAATTGTGTCTCCTAGACTCCTGAATAATAGGAACAATCCATTTTAGAGCGCGTCTATGTGCTCCTCCACTTTGAACTACACCATTTATTGGTGATAATATTTCTCTTATGTGAGTGCCGGGAGGACAGATAATATATAAAACACTACATTCACAGTAGAGAGGCTCATAATGAAGACCGGTGGTTGTGGGTATATTATCCCTCTCCTATTGCTTTTATTGAAACTATTAATGACGCCAGTCTCATTGCACATGCTCGTATATTTTAATATGAAAATAACGATTCTGGAGACAATTAATGACATTCACCACAACCTATAACTTATCCTAAGTTATGCCGTGGTCATACAGCAGCAACCCTTCGGTCATTCCACTAACTACAACCATGGGAGACCAACACCACGATATCTCCCAGAGAGGGCAATTCGTAGCATGCATAACGCCGGATTAAGTATCCGCGAGATCACAATGCAGATGGGAGTCCCAAGATCGACAATGTGGTGTTGGTTACAGCAGTTTAAAGAGTTAGATAATTTAACAGATCTTCCCAGACTAGGACGGCCTAGACTAACCAGCCCAGCAGATGACACGAGGATTGTGGCAGATATTCGCAACCATCCTTTCACCAATGCGATGGCCACAATGGAGCTGCTGCATTTGGAGGTCTCAGCTAGGAGAGTTAAGTGACAACTCCATGGAAATGGGTCCCTGCTGTTCAGGAAAGGCTAGAAGAACACCATTAGGTTGGGAGACTACAATTCCCTGATCATTATGTGGTGGAGGACCTGGACTTCTAGGCAATTACGGCCGTCTTCACTGCTGGAGTCCTGAT